CCTATTATAGATATAGTATAAGATCTAAGGTAGCTATTACTACTATATTTATATATCCTAATATACCTTATAAGTAGGTTTTATAAGTTATAGATGTAACGTAGTCCACAAGCGAGTTGGATTCCCAAGCGAAATGGATTTTTTTTCTTGGCACTCCACAAACTTATTCAGAGCGCGTTTTTTCTTAACAAACAAAATGGTTAAGCATTGGACAGAGTCTGATATGATTCTTGCGTTAAATACGCTTCGTACGAACCCACATTTAAAAGTTAAGAAGGTTGCGCGGATCTATAAAGTACCTTATACGACATTGCTTAATCGAACTCATGGAATATTATCACGACAAGATTCTATCGCTAAATCTCGAAAACTTACAGAGATTGAAGAAATAGTTATCGTACGACATATTCTCGACCTAGATTCTCGATCATTTCCCCCACGAGTACGTTGTGTTGAAGATATGGCGAATCGTATCCTCTCGGAGCGGGGTGCAGGACGCGTTGGCAAGAACTGGACTTCGAACTTCGTACGACGACAACCTGAACTTAAGACGCGTTTTAATCGAAGGATTGATTATCAAAGAGTCCAATGCGAAAATCCAGACGCGTATAACGCGTGGTTTCGCCTCGTACGAAATATAATTGACAAATATGGGATTCAGGAGGAGGATATTTATAACTTTGACGAGACTGGGTTTTGTATGGGCCAAATTACATCAGAAATGGTTGTTACAAGTACCGAAAGGCTTTCTCGGCCTCGTACAGTACAGCAAGGAAACCGGGAATGGGCAACAGTAATTCAAGGTGTTGGGTCGTACGGCTTTGTAGTGCCTCCATATATCATTTTGGCGGGGAAGAACCACCTCTCCTCCTGGTACGAAAACAGCCAATTACCACGCGACTGGGTAATTGCTGTAACTACAAATGGCTGGACAACAAATGAGCGAGCCCTAGATTGGATTTTTCATTTCGATCGGCATACAAAGCTTCGTACGAAGGGCATTCACCGGCTGCTTGTGCTTGATGGCCATGAAAGCCACCACTCAGTCGATTTTGAGCTTTTTTGTAAGAGTAATAACATTATTACTCTTTGCATGCCAGCTCATTCCTCTCATAGACTCCAGCCACTCGATGTAGGATGTTTTCGAGCGTTAAAAAGGTCGTACGGTGCTGAACTTGAGAAATTAATGCGACTCCACATTACATATGTTTCTAAGGAGGATTTCTTATCAACATTCTATACTGCCTTTCGTACGACAATGACTGAATCAAACATTCGAGGAGGATTTCGAGGATCTGGCTTAGTGCCGTACGACCCAGATTCTGTGATTTCACAGCTTGATATACGTCCAAGGACTCCGTCACGTCCATCTACCTCAACAAGCCTCCTAGCTATTTGGGAACCAAAGACCCCAAATAACATAACAGAGGCATATTCCCAGACGTCATATATACAAAACAAGGTCGTACGACACCAAGATAGTTCTCCGACCCAGATTCTATATGGCCTAGACCAGCTTGCAAAGGGTGCACAGCGTGCAATCACTGAGGTAGCTTTATTACGAGCTGAGAATGCTACACTTCGTACAGCAAATGATCAACTTAGTCGGCGTCGTCGTACGAAAAAGCGCCGATTACAGGAAGGAGGATCACTTACTCTCCAAGATGCGCAAGATTTAGGGGTCCTTAGTAATGTTGATTCGCAAGAACAAGTGGTTTTAGTAGAAAATAGTAATTGTACGAGCCCGAGTCTAGTACCTCGCCGGCGCTGTGGACTACGTGGGAAACATGGCCATAACATACGAACTTGTCAAAAAGGAGAAGAAATATGTGAGGATTCCGATTCTGAATACTGTAATTAATTTAATTAATTGTGTCGTGAGATATTTAAGAATTTATAAAATGCCAAGAAAAAAAATCTATTTCGCTTGGGAATCCAACTCGCTTGTGGACTACGTTAAGTTATTTCTAATAATAAACAGATCTTTAATAGTAATAAAAGTAATAAATCCTATTAATTTAAATATCTAAAAGGAATTAAAAAGAAACTAGGCGCTAAGCTTACCTAAAATAAACCTTAGCTATTTATATAAAATAATAGCTATTATATAATATGTTTATCTTTATCTACCTATTTGTGACGACACGTACGATATGTTGCTCAAGGAGCGTCCAAGGTGTAGGTTATGGAATCGTAGAACTGTCTATTCGAAGATTCTAAGCTAAGGAGAGAAGAGAAGGAAGGACAGAAGCTCAAGAGCCAGAGGCTCTTAAATACAGGAGGTGGCGCCAAGGGCCATGCCTTAGCCGAGTCTCAGCCAGGGGCTCGTTTGACGCATGGTGGCCGCCGGGTTCCAGCCAGGGCTGGTCTGTAGCGTGGTGGCGGTGAGAACCGTCACACTATTAGCCTTGGTTACTAACTGTTGGTACGACCTGGTTGTCGTAAAGGGTGATACACAAACATAATCTCTCTTTGTATTCATTCGTGTATGAAGAGTAAAGGTAAAGAGAGGTGGTACCCTAAAAGCTTAAGTATATGAGTGGCAAGCCACTCACATGACCTAAAGCATATAGATCCACCAGGCTCTCGTACAAGGTGCTATTCACCAGAATTATATACCGACACTAACTATAATAAGTCCTCTGTAAGATATAAGAATAGCTATACTATAACTAATATTACTATTAAGTATAGTTAAATAAGGCTAATAGTCTTATATTTAGCCCCTTTAAAAGTACCTAATCGACTATTTATCTAGCCTCTATCTTTCTAAGCTATAACAAATAACTAGTAATTAATAGTAGTAGTTATAGAGGCTAGAAAGGAGATAAATAAGAGAATAGAGAAAATAGAAACTTTTATTAATATCTTATTACTACTAGGTCTTAAGTTTTAGTTTCTAAGCTACCTTTCTCTTTTTAAGGTAAAAGTAGATATAGGGTTTAATAATAATACTTATTTCAATAGTAAGATATAGTTATTTACTTTAATATTTAGATAAAGCTTTTTACTACTAGATTAAGTAACTTTATATATATATATTCGAATTTTTACTACTCGGCCTTAATATTATACTTTACTCCTCTAAAAATTCGCTAGGTTTTTATAACTACTACTCCTTATCCTAGTAGCCCTTAATAGTATTTATAGTACAATAACTACTACTTATCCTAGTAGCCCTTAATATATTATAAAGGATAAAGGGAGTTTTTAATTTATAGCTAGATATAGAGGTAGTTCTTTATATAGGTGTTTATTAAAGGATATATATAGAAGCGGAGGTAGTTCTTTATATATAGAATTATTAAAGAAGATACAGGAGTAGTAGGAGTTCTTTATATATATATTCTTTATATTATATATAAAAGTAGAGGGAGTTTATTATTAGACAAGGGTTCTTTATAGTAAATATAGATAAGAGGGGAACTTTAGAGGGTAGTTATAGAGGTTATTCAAGGGACTTCTTAGTATTAAGAAGATTAGAGTATAGTAGGATTTCTTTGTTTAGAGGGATATCTTAGGAGATATCTTTTAATTATTTATATAATTAGGTTAGAGTTAGGTAGGATAAGCTATTTAGACCTTATTTATTATATAGCTAGATAGTTATATATACTTTAGGGGACTAGTAGGAGAATTAAGTAGATTTTATATTATAATATTTATAAGTATATATTTCTATTAGAACTATGTCTTTAGTATAATATTTAAGGTTTTGCGCCTAATATTAGTATACGAAAATATATACGCTAGGGATAGTTTTATACCCCGGGACAGCCCGCGGCGGGTGTTAGATATTTTCGTATACATCTAGCCTCGATTTCCTAGAGGGTTTAGACTTTTAATAAGAAGGTATTTCTTTCTTTTTTTCAGGATATCTTAACATCTTATAATACTCTAATATATAATTCCCCTTCTAACCCCCGGTCACCGATAATAACCTAGTAATCCAGTTCTAGAATCCTCTTTAAATATATATATATATATATATATATATACTATACGAAGTCCTATCCCGAACCCTATCTTTTATTTATAAATTTATAAAATAAAATAAAATAAAATAAAATAAAATAAAACAGGAAATAACAAACCCTCCTCCCCTCTCATACCTACACCATCACATCCCCAATTCCCAAGAATCCCTCCCCCCCTTCAAAAAAGAAAGGTCAAACAACAAATCCCATATAGTAACACTCATTAATCCTCAATCCTCCTCTCTCTCTCTCTCTAGCCTACGTCGATTGAGTATCTAATGTTTATTATACTATATATGTTTTACTATTTTCCCTAGGAAGTTATCTCCTATCTCTCATGAGTCATCTCCCATACCTTCCTCTCTATACCTTCCTCCATGTTGATTCCTAAACCTAATCTCAATCCCGGCTCTCACTTACACTTCCATTTCCCCTTTCAATTCCACTTTCAAATATCAATTTCAACCCATTGATCCATTAATGCATTACACAATCTTCTGTCTTCATTTGCATGATTCTCCTCAATTCCCCTCGCTCGATTTATAGGTAAAGTATCTGTACAGTACACAGTACACATTATATCCCCCCACCCCTTCCTCTTTTCCCCTCTCATCCTCCTCTATGCCCCCATCTCATCCCCATCTCATCCCCATCTTATCCCCATCTCATCCCACCCATCCCCATAATCTCATCCCTCTCCCCATCCCATCCCCACCTCCACGTACCCATCCCAACAACCCAACCCATCCCAAACCCAAAGCCGCCCATCAAACAAAACCAGAAAAGCTAAGCAAAAAAAAAAAAAAANCCCCATCCCATCCCCACCTCCACGTACCCATCCCAACAACCCAACCCATCCCAAACCCAAAGCCGCCCATCAAACAAAACCAGAAAAGCTAAGAAAAAAAAAAAAAAAGAAGAAGAAACCAACAACTAGGGGTATCTTAATATCTCTAACACCACAACGAAAAACAAGAAAATCCCTCCCTCCCTCCTTCTCTGCAAACCCCCCTCCCCATCCCCATCCATCTCCTCACCTCACTCTCCAATCATACAAGAACAAACAGAGAAGCCTTTGCAGACCAATCGATCGATCGACTTGCAATCCCATCCCATCCCATCCCATCCCATCCCATCGCTCTGACAATTCCTCTTCATCCACATAAAAACAAAAAGCACCTCCCATCTATAAAAAGTAGAAAAAGAGTAAAAAAATGTAAGATAACAAAAATCGTCGCACTCGTCTCCCCCAGGGAACCTCTCTCCATCCAAGAAAGTAATGTACTCCCAACATCAAGTCCCAACATTAAGTCCAAGCGTCTTTCAGACCCGCTTCAAATCAATCAATTCGCACCAGAAAATACACATGCCTCCCCTCTCGAATCGACCGTAGGAGGAAAATCAAGAGAAGGGCAAAACATAAAAGCGACAAAAAAGAAGACGGTGCAAAAGAAAAAGTTCATCTTAAAGAGAGCAGGGCAAGGAAGAGTTCCTTCCCCAGTACTCTTGTCCATTTCCATTCAAAAAAAGAGGCTTCTGTAAGCCCCCTTTCCCAAGTCCATCCTAAAAAAGACTCTTGTGAAAGGAGAGAGAGAGAGAAGGAGAGAGAGAGAGAGAGAGAGAGAGAGAGAAAAGTTCCTATGTAATCAATCTCCCTTTTAATAAACACCTGGAACACAAAAAAGACGCTCAAAAATCTTGCGCCCTGCCAGAATCCCAAATTCTTTCTTTTCGTCCCAAAAAAACCCCAATCCATGCATGATGTAGTAGTGTGTCGAAAAAACATTAGAAAAATCTTAATATTCTCCCAATCCCCAGCTCCGGCGCAGGACAAAAAAAAACGCTCGCTCAATGCACAGTAGGAAGCTTTAATAGTCAAAGATCATGAACAAAGGAGAAACGTCAAAAGAGTTTTCGTGTATGTGGTGTCGCTTAACCACGCTTGGTGTTGCCGATTCATCGGCTTGATGTAATATGCACGGTGTCGGGGTCTGTATCTGCTGCATTAGGTTTAACCGTAACACGCCCCTCGATGGAGATGCTTCTGATCCGCGAGCTCAATGGAAGGGAGTATTTGAGTGTGCCTCGTACAATCAAGTCGAATTCATGTTGTAGCACTCTTCCCCAACGTTCACTTCCTGCTGGCAGAGTGTTGTTTCCTGGATGGTGAACCCGAATCTGACCAGTCGAATCGGAGTGAGTCTGTTGAAATGGTGATCCTTCAAAGTTCAACGGGCTGTCGAGTTCATAGACGTGTCCGATTTCCAGGTTGGGATTGGTATTTGGATCCTCGCCCAACGGAGGATCACGTGGATCGTCGTCACGTTTCGTCACGATTTTTCGAATCCCTCGTCGCATTTTCCTAAAGATATCAGGATCTGGTTGACTCCACCACTCCGAATCGGTTCCTGCGTATTTTGATTTGGCAAATATAACTAGATCGGCGAGATCGACTGTGACAGCCACAATGTTTGGATTTCTTGCCTGGACTTTCATATCAAAAATAATGTCCTGCTCACTGGCCAGAACGTTTTTGATTGCCAGGACTTTGACGCTGGTTAGAGGTTGAGTAGTGGCAAGCATGAACCCAACAGCACCGGAAAGGACCAGGATTATCATGAGGCAGAGAACTAGCCACCCAGTGAACTGAGCAAGCAATGATCGATTATGCCGGGAAGCTTGATGCTCGAGCTGTCGAATTGATGCTGCATTGGGACGTCGCCCCCTTCCAGATCTTCCAGAGCGTATGCTTGCGATCAATGGGGTACGTTCGTCATCGGCAGCGTCGTCCAAATCATAACCGGCTGACATGGGAGAAGACTTCTTGCCGAGACCCCCTGCCCCCAATCTCGAAGCATTTGATAATCTCGGGCTTGTTGGTTGCGAGGCGTGTCTAGGAGACGTTCCTGCAAATTTTGATTTTGCTGCGTTTGGAAAAGGAGATTCGTTATCAAAGAGAGAGGCGTGGCCATTTCCTCCATTTCGTCCCCACCGGCCAATGTGATGATGATGATGCGTTGTTCCTCTTCCGGTCCCCATGTTACTTCGTACCGTCCCCTTTCCGTCATCTTCTCCGGTGGTAGAATCTGGACCATTGGCGTTAAAGGAATTTGCAAATTTCATACTCTTCTTCATTGCCACACTGTGAACTCCTTCGGGGTTCAGTCTCGGACCTAATCGTTGGTGATCAATCTGGCTGACCATCGAGGTCGCACTTGGCGTTCGCGAGTGGTACCGCCGCTTTTGTTCTGGGGGTTCTGGAGGGTTCGATTCGTAGACAAAGGTTTCTTCCGAATCGGACGAGTTTGCCTCATCGACCGCGCTGGCGACTTTGGCTTCGAAGATATCTGCTTTTGAAGAGGCTGGGCGACTTCTAGTTAGCATAGAGCTTACACTGTGAATACTTAAACTTGGTCTGCGGTTTGACGGTATGAACTGCCGCTCAGGACTTGTTGCGCCACTACTGCTCGAAGGCGAATACGGGCCTTGACCGTACACCCTTTCAGATGGCCGAGCAGCAGTCGCCGCAGAATAAGAAAAATCTCGGATAGAAGGATGATGGTGCAGTCTGGGTCTTGATGAATTTGCGTGCTCACCCGTGCCTGAAGTAACTGATGGAGCCTTGCGGGTCGTCTTCTTCTTCTCCTTCTTCGGTCGTATGGTCTCGGTACTTGGTTTCTGTCGGATACTGCCATTGCCTGCTGGCCGTTCAATGGCCACTTGTGGTACTACCGAGCTCACCACTTCGGTTTCCACCGTCATATTTCTGGTAGACCCTTCCCCAGCAGTCTTTACTTTATTGGCACCACCCGTCGTTCCAAATGGCTTTACCGCTGGAGCACTGGGTCGTAAGCCTGTTGCCGCTGTAGCTGAAGTCGTTCTCATCTTGATTTCGCCTTTTCCACCACTCTCACTGCCACTCTCGCTGGCGGTGGCATTGGCCTTTTGTTTACTCGACTTGATGGCGCCGTCCTGATCTGTTGGCCTTCCCACTCTTTCTAGTGATTCGTCTTCAGATTTCGATTGCATCTCCTGCACCGTCTCCAGTGTGGAGCCGACCCCGCTGGCACCGCTGGGTCCCCTTGCTGGCGTTCGCATGCCTGGCACCGTCAGAGAATCCTCCGCGTCGTTGTCGTTCGATGTTGGTTTCTCTGACGACTGGTCCGTCGGTTGGTCAGCGCGCTGTACATTGATCACTGGAGGTTCTTGATCAATCTTCCGTGGAGTAGTGGCCGTTGATTTGTTAAGAGGAGGGGAGCGAAGTCTTGGGGATATCGGCCAGCGAGGGGTATCCGTCAGCTCTGATGTCACGGAAGGTTTTTGAGGAATTGGAGCACGTATTATGGGCTCTGATAAATTTGGGTATAGAGTTGGGATGGATGCAGCAGACAATGCTCTCTGGGTGGCGGCCGCGGAAGGTGGGTTTGTGGTGCTTGAGGAGCGTGACGGACTGACGTCTTGCGAGCTATTCTTCCTTGATCTCCCCGGGCCTGTGTGACGGGTCGATACACTTGGCCTTACGGCTTGTCGAACGGGAGAAGGATCTCTTGAAGGAATTGGCGTGCTGGTCGAGGACAGAGCTCGCTTGGGGTGTATCTTTCTTGTCGGTGGTGCCGAGGGGGTTGTTGATGTTGATATTGAAGATTCGCGAGGCTTTGGGGTGGTGGATCTGGAGGGAGTGGTACTGCCACTGCCACTCGATGCAGCAGAGACAGATGATATGGAAGGAATGTCGGCCGAGTCGTGCGTCCAGACTGTAGCCGACGTGGATGGGGAGGCTCTGTTGTCGAAGGGCATGGTGACCTCTGTTAGGTTGCGCTGGAGGAGTGTAGGGCGTGTTTATTGTGAGAGAGGACCTCCACAGCTCTATTGGGTTAGGTGCTACCTAGCCTAGGTACGGAGGCAGTCGGCGGCGTTAGTCGTTTTAGCGTGGGCGTGAAGGTGAATGTGAGCAGCTTGAGCCTTGAAGGCGTGGAGGAGCGTCACTGCCGCAGGTGGTCCAGAGAAGACTTGGCAAGGGCTACTGGTACACACCCAAATTGGTCCTCGTCCTGCGGTGCTGGTGACGTCTCGTTTTTGCGATGCACCGAATCTACTGTACTCTAGTACGCTAGCTTGGTGCGATGAATGCGCGCACAAGATGCGATGCGAGGCCGCGAGTTGGACGGTGCGGTGGCGGTCGCGTTGTTGTTGATGCTGGTGATGTTGGTGATAAGGAGACACGCTGGGGGGGAAGTGGTGTCCATTCAAAACGGTGATTGTGGTGGGTGGTGGGTGGTGCTGC